AAAGGATTATTTTGAGTAAGGACATGTTATGTGATGGATATGATGATTTCACTCTTAAGTATCCAAAACACATGACCAATTTACTAGAATTTGTTAAAGAAGAAAAGAGTTGTACCGCGAAACTACATAGTGAGACAAAAAGAAACTCCCTAGCTAGTTTTTCTAACCAAAGACACTAACAAAAACACTTCAAGCCAAACCTAATCCACTATAAACTCCAAGCCTCAAACAAACTTTCAACTATGCTTCTTCATCCTCCTCTAAAATCACATGGAGACCTCAAGAACTTTTCTCTTCTTTCTTCTCTTTCTTCTTCTGTCTTCGTACACTTCGGCAATGCCTAGATTCCCTGCTACTCTCATCGGTTCTAAAAATCTTCAGAAACCTGAGAAGGTTCTCACAGATACTTCATGTAAAACGTGGACCATTTCAACTACAAGCCACAGAGCTATGAAGTGTTTCAACGGAGAGAATTTGTTTGATGACAGGCATTGGGGAGGTGCAAAGAGTCTATCACCAATATTTGTGTACAATGGAGATGAAAGCGAGATCGAGTTGTTTGCTGAGAATACCGGATTCATGTTTGATATCGCCCCATACTTTTTAAGGCTCTTCTTGTTTTCATTGAGGTAAGAAAGGAGCAACTTTTGTATGGTTCTTTGTACTGATATCATGCAACAAAAATAAATAATTACGGATATTTTTATGTATCATGCACCTTATATGTAAATATTATTAATATTTAATATACTAATATCTTAGGAACATGAGTCGTGACTAGTCCAAGAAGTGTTTTTGCACAGAGGTAACCCATGAATGAGGGAGTAAGTTAAAAAAGGAAGAAGAAAAAAAAGCAAGGTACTCTTTTTTCCCCAAGCAAAGGCTGGATAAACAAATTAAGCATCTGTAGAACAAAAATTTCTTTGGTCGTAAACATGGGTTTTTCAAGTCACATTTGTGCAGCGTTACAAGCAAAGATACGCATCTCTGTCTGTAAAATATTTACAAGGCCGAATTTACCAGCCATTCTCCGCAACAGGATGCCTTATGCCAAAGCCCAACCAACCAACCAAAACTTCTCGTGCGTGCTGAAGTGAAGATGCACAAATCTTTCCCTCACAAGCCTGATCGACAAGAGATTGCATATGCATATGATGAGAGCAAATAGAAAAGCGTGCACTTAGAAATTAGAATCCGATTTCAGTGCTTCATGCAAGATAGAGTTTACTCCAGCAAGACGACAATCTCTCTAGGCTTGGCTATAGCGCTTCCTAAACAAATGGTGTCTCTTTGCCGGGTCCTTTGGTTTACTCTTGCCATGGCCCTTCTTGCCTTGGCCAGTACTGCCAATAAAAGAGGGTTCGAATTCATAAGCAGGAAGAAAAAAAAGGAAAGGAAACGATTGAAAAGAAATATATACGGGTAAGAAAATGAAGGGTAAACTTCACAAAGCCCTAAACTTTGAAATTTTGCATAAACTCCCCCTAAAATTTATAAATCATAAAATACCCCTAAACCTCTCTAACTTAGCACCTTGACTGACGGCAATTGCCTCAAATTGTCAAGTGCAGGGCTTTTGTAGGATTTTACACCTAGCTGATAAATATAATTTCTATATTACCTTTTCGGACAGAAGGTTAGGTAAGAAAATTGAACAGGCTAGTCTTGGACTTTTTACTCAGTCCCTTAATGCTATCTATGAGTGTTCCTAATTTCCAGAAGGCTTAGTATAATGAAAGTTTTTCTATGATTTATAAAGTTCCGTCCGTTGTTCAAATCACCACCTCTTAAAGTTCAGGGGGGTTTGATAAATTTATCCAAAAGAAATAGAAACAAAGGAAATCTCATACTTGTACTCCATGTACACCATCCCGCTAGCTCCTGATAGAGCGCTCATTGATCCCGCAGAACGTCGGGCCTTCTGTAGAGCAATGTCATCAGCATCTTCTTCTAACTGCTCCAAGCCAACCACATCATCTCCAGCACTCAATACCTAATACCACAAAAGAATCAATTTATATAGCTTGGCAGAATTAAAGAATTTAAGTGTATGGGAAAATATACAGAGACGGAATTTGAGAGGACCCACCTTGCTGAGGAGGTCAAGTTGCTCCTGTAGGGTATGGAAGCTGAGCTCAGATCCTGAATCAGGAGGAGGAAGGTGTAGGCATCGAAAATTACCTATAGGTCCCTACGAACAGCTCAGTGTTAAGGAATGACGATGAACGTCACTATCCGGTTCACAGGAGTTCGATTGACGTCGGTGAACGCTTGAAGTGAATCGACGAACTACGTGAGCTGACAGAATTCCGGAATAACGAAGGTGCGGGCTAATCGGGAGCCCCGCAATGTTTACAAAGGGAACAATGCCCTTCGTGTCTCATTCATTCTACAGATAATCCAACCATTGGAGCTGATAGAACTCCTTGTCGGCTTTCCAACGCATTTGGAATCACTCAGATCCGGGTTCAGACAAAGAAGTTACAGCGAAAACAGTCAAACGGGCATTGAAAACGTCTCAAAGCTGAACTGAGGCACCTACGGTGTCTCGGCCAAGTCAAGACACCCCAAGGGTGTCTCAGCGCGGATTTGGGCCCTTTAAGTGGTTTTAACCGCTCCGCAACCCCTCATGCCTATAAATACAAGCCTTAGGCCTCATTTTTTCAGATCTGGAGTTTTGGAGAATTGGCGAAGCCCTGCCGGAGTGAAGAGTGATCAAGCACTTCAACGTAAGAAAGTTTCTTCGTCAGATCTACATCACCCGTACCCGATCCTTAGTATTATCCCGTTGTGGTAATACTAAGAAGAGCAAATATCTCGCTTTTATCGAGATAGGCGCTACAGTTTTCTCGATCCCTTCGCGGATAGACGAAGCTCTGCCCAATTTTTTCAGCAATCAGATCTGATCGACGGTGGTCCACGGATAAACCCCGGCACAGGCAAAGACACCCACGCAAGCAGAAGACCGAAGAACGATCTCTGCGTTTGTTTGATAAAGTTGTAAACTTTTTTTTTATTTTCATTGTGTAAGGAGATCTTATAAAAAGATCAACTTTTTATTTCATTCGAGTTTATTGTAACGACTAAAGTTGTAATAGATTCGATAACAATGGAAATAACAACTTTCTCCGCAAACAAAGACGATCGATTATATTCGGATATAGATCGACGTTAGTGTGTTTCATCATGTATCGGGTAAGACTAATGCGAAGTCTCTTTGGAAGAAGTTTGAGGATCTCTACGAGCAGAAGACAGTGGGAAACAAGGCGTTTATTATCTGAAGGTGCTCCAGCTGTGTCAAAGAGGACGCGCCAAAGACGGCGCCAACGCCTTGCATGACAATTGGCCAAGGCCACAGAATCGATGGACGGGATCCGCTACAATGAGGATCTAAAGTCCAGACAGCGCCAGATGCAACAACGGCGAACAACCAACTCCTCCTCTAAAGCGGAGACAAATGAATGAGTCCGCGTCAAGAGGACTCGCTCAACCCTCGAAGAGCGAATCAAGAAACGCCGCGCATTGCTTGCGCATGCCCGAGTCCTTCTGCAGAAAGCGGAAGAAATACAGAAAAAAAAGACGGTCAAGAAGCCGTCAAAACACAAGCAGATGTGGGTGCCTAAGGCAAAACCGGCACCAAAGGCAAAAGTGGACGGAATTGCCGTCCAACCTTCATCAAATCCAGATCCCGTTTCCCTTGCCCCCGCACCTCCGGCGGA